CTGCGCTACCCAAACCCCAACATCTTATTTTCCCGAAAGCTTTTATCTGAGTTTGTCAGCAAACTGGAACTTCTAACCTGGCAGTGTCCAATGTTGATGGTTACTGGTGGTGCGTGCGTGTGCTGTGGTGAGGGGTGGCAGTGGGGGTGAAGGCCTGCTAATGCGAGGAGGCCGTCAGGTGTGGGAGGAGGGCAGAGGAAGCTGGGAGCCTTGTGTTGACAAACAGCCCAGAAGCAAATTGACGCATTTCACTTAACCAGCAAATTAAAGGCAGAACAAGGGTTTGTTCCGAGCAGAAATCACCTTGGAGTTGACCTGTTCATACTGGACTTGCTCCTAGCAGGCTGAATGGTGGTGACAGGGATCATTTTTGTTGACAGCAGCTGAAAATACAACCGCTATAATATTATAATTAGAATCAGCATCAAGTTTGGATCATAATAGGGGCTTTCTTGGAGAAATGGCACCGTGTCAAATTTATAGTCACTAGCTAAATGAGTCTCTTGTATCCGCGACAAAGGGACAAAAACAGTTCCAAATGAAAACACAAACAGAGAGTACTGGTTGTTATATTCCCTGGGTATTACGCCGGGTCCTATTTATCACACACCAACACTTGCGGCTTTGAAGAAACATTATCCTGCAAGGTTTTCACTTCTCAATTTGCCTCCGTGGCCTGCGTTCTGCATGCCTTTCCATGGAGAAGCCTAGACCACAGCTTGACGAGAAATCTTTTCTGCTGCAAGATTAACCTCAAAGCATCCATTTCCCACCCCCTATGGGTAATCGCTTGATAAATGCATCCACGAGACGTCCACACACATCTATTCCCGTGTCCAGGTACATCAACAGCCTGAATCACTATTAGGAGAAATGTCATCCTTGACGGGAAGTAGTGCTGCCTTTCATTTCCAGACGTCGAAAGTTGAAGGATGTGGAGTGCCTGGGAAAGCGGGCAGTTGGCAGAAGTGTCCTGGATAAGGATGTGGGCAAAGGCTTTCTTAGTCCTAATACAATCCCCAGCTCCGTAGTTCATCTTGGCAACTTTGGGGGATTTCTACTGGATGTGGGAAATGTGGGGTTCGTTGGATGGCCATCCATTTAAATAATACTGAGCAACTTACCGCCCTGTGCTTGGCTGTGTGCTTCCTGGACCAAAAGTTGTCTTGATTTCAAGCCCTGAAAAATGGGAAACATTTTATTTATTGTTCTTGTTGAGAATATGCACAGCAGAATATGCACAGCAGAATGTGCACCCATTTAATAATTTCTCCACCTGCAGTTTAGTAGAAGTGGCTGCTCTCTCCCACGTGTGCAGTTATTATCCACACTCCTCTTTCTGGTTGGTTCTGATCCCACGAACCTACACATATTGCCTACTAAGTATCCTATCTGCTCTTTTGAGATAGGATACTTAGTATCCTATCTGCCAATCTTATGTCACCAAGGAAGTTTCAAGGAGGCAAATAAGATGGAAGAATGTGAACTGTGTATGTGTGTAAATGTTTCCATTAGACATGTTTCTAAAGGAAGGATCTTATACAGAAAATGATTTAGTATTGTCTAGTGTTTTCCTCTAGACTTAAGGAAATATACTACTATTGACATCATTATGCAAAACTAAACCCAATTATAAATTACAACATCAACCACTGCTTAAAAAGAGCCTAACCACAAGGTTGGTGGTTCAAATCCACCAGCCACTCCATGGCAGAGAGAAGTTCTCTGCTCCCATAAAGATGTACAGACTCAACGAACCTGGATAGGTTCAGTATGAGTTGGAATTGACTCGGTGGCAGGAGCAGACATCATTTTTCTTCTGCTAAGAGACTGGCAGGTTTGAACTACTGACCTTGTGGTTAGAAGTCTAATGCTTACCCTTTGGTGCCACCAGGGCTCCTTCCTAAGAATACAGAACTAGCTAAAATTCTACAGCCAATGACAGATGTGTGCTGGGGTGTAAGGTATAGCTGCTCCACTCTTTGATAGCCAACCCTGCCCCAGATCTCCCAAAGAAGTCCAGGAACGCTTTATTGAGACTGCAGTGCATCTCCAAGCTCTGTCTTCCCCCTCTTGTCCTTTCTACTTCTCAGCTAGGGATGGAAGACCAGGCTCCCAGTCAAAAGTCTTCATGCAATTTTCCATTTAGAAGCTGATTCCCATGAAGCAGGTCTGTGGCAGCTACCTGCCATTCCTTACAAATGCATGAGCTAATTCCTTCATGAGCACATAAATTCAAGTAGCAAATAAGTGTGCAGTTACTATTATGCACAAGATGAAGGAGACATTGTCCCTGTCCTCAAAAACCATTGTTCTTGTTCCCCAGCCATGGCCAATGTCTCTTCAGTGTCAAAGCATCTTAGGATCTGCTTATGGCCTTTCAGTCCACTTGGACTCCACTGCTGCTTCTCGTTTTCCCTACAATGTCGCCCCCGCTCTTCTTCCCCTACCGAAACTCCACCTCTCTTTAATGATTTTAGTCAAATGCAATCTTTTCGAAAGCTGTACTGAGCTTCCTGCTTGTGTTGTACTGAGGGGCCGGTCCACAGTCAGTGCCATTTCATGCGCTGCCTTTCTGCGTACCTCCTTCTGTTCCCTGCATTCCCTCCTCACCTCCAAGTACCTGCTTCTTGAGGGCAGACTGTCTCTTCTTACATTCACCTCCCGTTAGGGACTCTCCTATGGGCCCAATTTCTGAAAGAAGTGAATGAATAATAGAACTTGGTTCTTTAAAAAAAGAAAAGATTTTGATTATATTCATCCATAACGATTTGTTGTCTAACTTTGGTATTTAATTGGAGGTTCCAAAATAATTTTAAATTCCCATGAGCTAACCAAGATGGGACAAAATATTCTTTTAATATTTCTGTACCACTTTCTTTAGCAGGCAAATTTCCCAAGTACATTCAGCTATACTATGGCAAAACTTAAATGCTACATATTACATTATGTTATTAGCCTTATTTTTCATATCTCTTTGATACATTTCTTCTGAATACCTTTGAAGCCCATATGAATCTAATAGATATCTTCAGAGTGAAAACTACAAAGGGAAATTAAATAATACACAGACTTAAAGGGCTCTTTTTACATAGTACTATACAGACAAGCAGCTTCCTTCCAAGTATAAGACGTGGATTTCATTGAAGTTACAAGCACATATTTTGAAAGAGATTTCTTTACCTCCTTATTCTCATGCATGGACTTATGTATAATGTGTTTGGCAAATTTTAGCTCTTGGCAAAGAATAGTGTGTTAATTATTACCTTCTCTCTCTCTTTTTTTTAATTAGGTACGTCTGTCACTAATGTAACAGCTACCGATGCCGATGACCCAGTTTATGGAAACAGTGCGAAGTTGGTTTATAGTATCTTAGAAGGACAGCCTTATTTTTCCATTGAGCCTGAAACAGGTTTGTGGCCTAAATTTTGAATTCTATTTACCATGTCTTTGCTTCAGGGAAACAATTTTCTTGGGATTTGGATTGTGAAGAGTTAGGGCCCAATACTTTACTGCTTGTACAAATGTGCTAGACTTCAGCAGTGTGAAGTACCTGGTAAGCACAGAGATCTTTTTAATATGAGTAAAACCCATTTTAGCCTTTTCATCAAAGGTGGTTTGTTTTGCTACATGGGTTTCCAAACTTATTTATTATCCTCTTTTCTGGGTGGGGGGGAAAAAAAATAGTTACTCGGCACCTATTGTCAATGAAAAATGTTGTATTACAGTCAGAATAAAATGTCAACTCAATTCCCATCCAGTTGATTCCTTCAGCACAGGGGAGAACTGGCCCTGTTGGTTTTTAAGAATGTAACTCATTATGTAAGTAAAAAGCCTTTTCATTCTCCCATTAAATGACTGGTGGTTTTGAACTGCTGACTGTGAAATTAGCAGCCCAATGCTTAATCCACTGAGCCATCAGGGCTCCTATGATAAAGTGCAGGTATATGCTTTTGTAGCTCACTTAGATGGGGGCAATAGTTCCCTCTTTGAGAAACACTGCTTGAACAGATAGTAGTATTGTGGGGTTTTTTCATCCTAGAATGCAACTGTTTATCAGTTATATTAATATCAGACAGATCTAGTGGGTTTAGACTCACTGTTACTTACTGACTGTTTGATACTTGGCAAGCCACTCTTGTTCATCTTTATAAGCTTCAATTTCCACTTCTGTAAAATGATACCTATGCTATAGGGTTACAATGAGGATCCGATGAAGCAAAGCATATCAAACATGCAGCACATGACATGTCATGAGCATTTGATTGGTATTATGACATTTGCTATTACATTACATATTTAAAAAACAGAATATCAGTTTTTACCAATTAGTGCTATTACAAAGACATTATCATTGATGAAAGTTAACCTGACCAGTACCCTGCAGTCTGGTAGTAAAACTTTAGAGACCATGAAGTAAGCTATTAAAACAAACCAACTGGAAAATGCTTCATAAGCAATGTAGTTTTGGTAAACAAAGATGGTTTTAGTCTAACAATATATTCAAACGGTAAAGCTACTTTGTCAGAATCTTTTAA